TGAGCCAAACCGGCCAGGGCTATTTTATTTTTTATTAAATTTATCGGAGTGACACTGGTTAATAAGATTATATAGGTTTCAAGTGTATATTTCTATGATACATGGTCTGTATATCTCATTGTGTGCCCACCACTCAAAATCAAATCATCTTCCATCACCATATAAAAGGTGGGGGAAAAGTAGGTTTACAGTTGTTTGAATAGAGAATAATAAATAAATAATCATACAAGAATAAACTCTGTTTTGGGTACTCACAATTGTAAACGCGCTTTTGCCCCACCTTGTATTTGGTCACAATCTAAAACAGTATGACAGTTCCTCAAGAAATCAAGAATAGAGTTACCATATGACCCAGCAGTCCCTCTTTTGGGTATCTAAACTTCTTTTGACTTTCTGAACATATTTATAACAGCTGTTTTTGAAGTCTTTTCCATTAATTTCATTACCTCTAGCTTGTGTTTCTGATTTCTTCACAGTTTTTTTTCCTCCAAGTTATAGGTTTATTATTCCAGTTTCTTTTAACATAGTTGGGTGTTGGATATGTAAATTTTACACTGTTGGGTTCTACATTTTGTTGTCTTATTTTATTTTTTAAATATGTTTTTATTGAATTTTTTAGAAAGAGGGAAAGGGATAGAAACATCGATGTCAGGGAGATACATCGATAGTCTGCCTCCTGCATGCCCCCTAGTGGGGATATCAAGCCCAGAACTGGGGAATATGCCCTGAATGCGAATTAGACCCAGAATTGTACCAGGACCTCTCAGTCCATGGAACGAAGCTCAATCCACTAAGCCACACCAGCTGGGCTTGTTGTCTTATTTTAATAATGTTTACTACGTCGGATATTTATGGATCAACTTTCAAGGCCTGTTTTATAAACCTTTTTAAGGGCAAGTTTGGAGTACCCTTCGTTCTAGAGCTAGTTTAGCCTCACTATAGGCATGGCTCTTCTGGAGGCTCTTATGAATGTGCTGGGTTCTCTACTCTGACTGACTGAAACTCTAATATTTCCCAGCACCGAGTGAACTCTGTAGATTTTTCAGTAGTTCATTGAGTTTACACACAGTCTGGTCATTCTTTGTCTGGCTTCACGGAATTCATACTACACCTGGGCAGCTCATTCAGCTAAAGACCAGGGCAGAGTTCTGGTATTCTTCATCTGATACTATGACCCTCATATTAGTTGTGTTGGCCTCTCCAAATTCCAAATTTTGTTTCATCAATTCAGTGAGACTGTCACACTCTGCTTGGATCCTTCCTCACCACACTGTGGTTCAGAAAGTGCACCAAGCAACACGCGGTACAATCAGACCTTCTCTTCTCTCAGAAGCACAGTCCTGTGCTGTCTGTTGTCCAATTGTCTTAGTTCGTTCAGACTGCTACTACAAAATACCGTACACTGGGTAGTTAACAAGCAGCAGAAATTTATTGTTCACAGATGTGGAGGCTAGAAGTCCAAGTTCAGGGTGCCTGCATGACTGGGTGAGGGCCCTCTTCTGGGTCACAGATTTATTATTTTATCTCCACACAGTGGAAACAGCGGGGATCTCGCTGAGGCCTTGCATAAGAGCACTGTAAGGATTCCTCCCTCCTGACCTAATCACCTCCCAAAGGCCCTACCTCCTAACACCATCACCAATGGGGGTTAGGATTCAACATATGAATTTTGGAAGGAAGCAAACATGCAGACCATAGCACCAGAGTTTCAAAATGGTGATTTCATATGTTTTGTTCATTTTCCTAGCTGCTTATGGTAGGAGTACAATCTGGTCTCAGTCATTCCATCACAATATAAAGTGATCAAATGCCCAATTCTGCTTCTCTGGAACCAGATGCCCACTAGATCTTGTCTTCACTGTGTTTTAAAATATATACTTAAATCCCTTTTACCCCTGCATTAATCCTCTATTTCTGGGAGACCCAGCTGCTACACACTTCCTTTTTAAAAAGAGCTCTATTCTCTCATGTTTACTCGTCCATGCAATCATAAAGTTTATATAATCATTTTTCCCTCAAATTGCCCTAACATTTGATAAAGATGGAATTAAATATATGGATTAATTGAAGGAAACTGTCGTCCTCCAGAACACTGACCTTTCCCATCTCTTATCCTATCTAAGGATAAAGTACATCTCTCTGTTTATTAAAGTCTTTTTTATAAAGTATATTTTATTGATTTTTTTTTTTTTTTGAGAGACAGAAACATTGATGTGAGAAACACTGATCAGCTGCTTCCTGCATACCCCCTATTGGAGATCGAGCCCGCAACCTGGGCATGTGCCCTGACCAGGACCTCTCAGTCCATAAGACGATGCTCAATCCACTGAGCACACTGGCTGGGCAGGATTTTTGAATATATAATTGCATTTCACATATTTATTAGTATTTTATGAGTTTTACATCTACACTAATATGATTGCAGTTTACTTTTTTTGGTATCTTTGTCAGAATGAAATTATCCTAATTTTATAAAATTTATTACTTTTATAATAAGACATAAAGTTATAAAAATAAAGCCTGAAAATTTATTATGAACTCTCCAAATGCCCACCATTATTTTAAGCCAAGTAATGACTGTTTTTTGAAATTTATTTCTCAGTTATAGTTGATGTACAATATTATATTAGTTTCAGGTGGACAACACAGTACCCACCACTTTTTCCACATTTATTTTTTTCTTCAGATTCTAGAGTTATGTTTATAAAATCCCGACAGGTCGTCTTTTCACCCTACCCTACATTTTAGAGTATAGATATTATAGATATATATTATAGCTATCTTCCTGAAAAGTTGCAAGATAAAAAATCCATCTTTCAAATATCACCATCTCCAAAACTCCCTCTGTGAAACTGAAGATTTTTCAGATACTAATGGCTTTTCTTCCTTTCTGGAATTCTCTTTCCCCAGATGTTTCCACTGCCCAATCCCCCTTACATTATTTAAGTTTAAACTAAAATACCACCTCTTCAGTGAAGCCTTCCCTGACCACTCTAATTAAAATATCCCCTACCACCTCTCCATCCTTCTCCAGCCCCAATTTATTTTTCACCGCCATTCTGAAATATTTTATCCCTAATACCTAGAAGAGTACTTGACACAAGGTAAGTGGATAGTTAATATTTGTTGAAGAAAAAGTTCCCCAAGAATAGTTTACCCTACTCTGGTGCCACACTACCTGAAACACTTGCGACCGCCCTAGAAGGCTGCCACATAAAGCAGTGGTCAATAATGCCCTGGTAAAACAACTTCATTTATCAGATTCTTCCATAACAATCAGTTCTCCAGGTCAAGAACACCCAGGGTTCCATGTAAAGAAAGACAAATATGAGTCTTCCAGAAATACACTCTTGTAGTCTTTTCCCACATTGACAGCACTTTATTAGCACAAGGTAAATATATCCTGCCTGTTCTTGGCGGCTCTCTTCATAGGGTTAAATACCAACAGAGAAAAACTGTAATACAAAGAGAAAGCTCTTAAAGAAGCAATAGTGGTTTAGATGATGTGAATGGAAGTCTCCCAAGTCCCTGATCTCTGGTGACTCACACCTGGAAGTGATCATACAGGAAGTAAATCTTCAATGAAGAAGTAGACACTGATTATAAGAATAGAGTATATTCTGTAGCTGTGGCTTCTCTTAATGGACTTGGAACCAATTTTAGATTCCAATATGACAGAAACCTCTGAGTTACCAAGTCCACTGAGAAACAAGCAGTAACCTTTGCTGTATCTCCTCCCCACTGAAGTCACCCACAGCTATCTTGGAAGACTGACAGAAAAATTAAGCAAGTAAGAAAAAGAATCCAGAGTCCAGAACACACAGCCTGATGTCCGAGCTTGTTTCTCAGTCATGTCACTAAACCACTATGCTGTACTGAGTACCAGTAACAGCATTATCTTTTACAGAATAAAGAGAAAACAGATTTTCTAACTACAGTAAACTCTCCATTTTCCCACCTCATGTCTGACCAAATATTTGCCCAATAGTGTGACAGCATCATTATATTTTAATTTAGCTCGTTCCCAATATTCACTCTTTACTAAACAGTAGGAACAGAGGCAGACCCTGGCAGTTCATACATTTCTGGTACTGTTATTTTTCTACTCACATCTCTTATTCTTTAACATTAGCAATAACAAGAAAATAACCCAAAATACTAATAATGTAAAAAACTCTACATATATAAAATTTCAAAACCTGAATTTCTTTTCTGATTTACAAATTATCTAAAGTCTTAAATATATATGTTTATATATATATGTTTATATATATATTCAACCTAATATATATATATATGATATATCTATTAGATTAAAATATGATGGGTCCCCACACTGAATCAGATATAACAAAGTAATCAAAAAACAAAGATGCCAACTAAAGGAGATACGAAATTCTAATTTCAGATTAATTTAATTTAGGTACATTATATACCTATACACTTTGTAATCCAAACAATAAATCTTATCAGGAATTGAAATCTCTCTCAATTGAAATCTCTTTCAATTTTCCCTCCCAGTTCATTCCAAAATATGCATGTTCCAACAACTCAGGGAAGCCCGGCAGTACATTGCCTCAACCTTCTACTACCTAAATTATATAAGGACACGTGACGTATACATGTACAATTTCATGCATTGAACATTTCTATTCTCAAATACCTGTTTGCTATTCTTTTTTTTTATCCCCACTTTAGGACATTTTTGCATTTATCTTCAGACAGAGCGAGAGGGAGAGAGGGGGGAAGAGAGACAGAGAAACATTGATGTGAGAGAGACACATTGACTGGCTGCCACCCACACAACCCCAACCAGGGCCGGGGACAAACTGTAACCGAGGTACGTGCCCTTAGCGAGAACCGAACCCAGGACTCTCTGGTCCGCAGGCCGATGCTCTAACCGCTGAGCCAAACCGGCCAGGGCTGCCATTAATTTCAAAACTAGTTCATGCATTGAATTCTATGCACAATACAATAATGTAATACATTGGATGCCTAACCTCTTGATTTTCTACTCCACTGCTGGAAAGCTCCAAAACAGAACCTCCACTGTCAACCACTGCTGATGTCATTGTTTATTCCCTGAGGAAGCTTGAAATGCTATTAATCAGTGCAATTAAAGGTTCATGGATGATTGCCAGTGTTATAGGTTTGCATCATTATGTCTTAAAAGTCAATAGAGGAGTGGAGTAGATATCCAGAAATCCAGTCTTCTAAAGATGATTAACCAGAGAGCCTAAAAAGAGGAAGAATTTGAAAAGTTATTAAAAATATATAGGAAAGATATAAAGCACAACCTATTGTGCAATCTAATTTTTAACATTTGTACAAACCAACAAAAGGAGATACGCTTATTCAGCTCTATGTCAAAAGAGGGCAGTAATGAGCATTCTACTTCTTAGCATTAAATTCATAAACATAATGAAATTAAGTTCTTACCAAGTTATTGCACAGTCATGAATGACATTATGATATCTACATTCTAAGAGGTACAATGTTATAACTTTCTATCTTTATGAAGATGTACTTTTATTCCTGAAATATTTTCATAAAAATTTTTTTAAATCTTTTATGCATTAAAAACATGCAATGTGTTGGACTGAGACAACTTTTAAATTATTTGCCTATATAACAAATTAAAAGATTTGTTGGTTTGTAACTATTTCACTCTTCTTCTCTGGCTCATTTAGTTTATTTAAATAATCAGAACTGTTTTTCGCTATGGCAACAATCTCATTTTGTGTTCACATTTTGAAACTCTACAAGAACTATAAAACAGATTAATATGACTAGCTTATACTTTCAAATAGGGTAGCTTGAAAATACAGTAGTGAAATCACTTGGAATGCCTTTAATATTTTTATCATTCTTCCATCAATAATGTTTTTGCTATTGGTTCAATATGCAATATAGCAAATGATTTCTACAAGAAAACGTAATTCAATTTCCCCCAGTAGAGATGAATTTCAATATGTACATCATCTATATTTATGCGTTAGATTATTCCTAAAAAGTTACACTTTGTTTGATTTTGCATATGTTAAATTTTTCATAGAGAGATTACAGAGATATATTTCTAACAGGATTTTTTCATATAAAAATTAAAGAATGCGGAAAATTAAGTACAAGAGAAAATACATTTCTAATAAATCATCCCATTAATATTCTATCCTCTATTAAGTTAAACTACTGGCACCATGGAGATATGGAAATAAAATAATAAAGTATTTCCATAAACTCCTACAATACAATACAAAAAAAAAAAACCACACAGAAATTCCACCTCACTACCTAAGACCATTCAGTACTATTAGTCTCCTTTTTTATCTTATCAACAGAAAATGGAGGAAGTGTTTGTATCTTAATAAAAATTTAGAAAAATCCAGTTACACTGAGGCTTACCATTATCATATGAGGTAATGACTATTTTCCATTTGTTTTCTAAACATATAGATAATAAAAGCAGAAATAAACTGTACTTACAATTTGAATGTTAAGTGGTCTAAGCATCCTTCACTGTTTTCACAACTTGGCAAGAGCTAAAATATAAACCAGCAGTTCTCTGGAACTAATAGCGGGGGGAAAAAGACAGTATTAATATAATTCTATTAAAAATATTTTTGCCCAAAATAAGTGTAATTCAAACAGTATGTACTTATTACCAACCATCTCCAAAGCCTGATGACACACATTATATAATGCACACAATAATAAATTATTTCTAGGCTACTGAGGAATCAGAAGTTTTTATCAAACTTAAAATTGAAGTCACCACCAAGTAACAGTTACTAAGTAAGGCCAGATTCAACATACCTAGCTTTCAAGTGGCTGCAGGGCATAATACCTGATCACCAGAAATATAAAATCAAGTTTTTAAAAACTAACCCAAAAAACGACTATAAAGCAATGTTGATGATGTACTGCCTATTGCATCACTTTCCTGCTCTCTCACCCTCCAACGTACATCCATACATATCCAAACATCCCAAAGCCTCCTCAAAAGCCCTCCTCCTTTCAAAGGCTAATCCACTGACCTATGCACTGGAATTTAGGCCTTGCTCCATCAATTACTTCCTCTCCTCCTTAACCTTTTTTTTTTTCAGATAGAGCAGGAGGGAGAGAAGAAGAGAGAGAGAGAAACATCGATATGAGAGAGATACATCGACTGGATGCCACCCACACAACCCCAACCAAGGCTGGGGACAAACTGCAACTGAGGTACGCGCCCTTACGGGAACCGAATCGGGTCTCTCTGGTCCACAGGCCGAAGCTATAACCACTGAGCAACCAGCCAGGGCTTAACCTTCTTTTTTAACATTGGTCCTCTCCCTCAACATCTAAACATTATAAGACACTCTCATGGAAAAGTCCTCCCCCATGACCCTGCATGCTCCTCCAGCTACTGTTCTAGTTCCTTTCTTAGATAATGTTCTAGAAGAAAAATCTTCTATACTGTCTCCACCAATTTCTTAGGTACTCCTCCTTGTATGGAAGTTTGTCATCTATCACCACCAACTGGACTTTTTACTAAATTCTGGTTGTCCAGTCAGATGGACACAATTCTGTCCTCGTAGGATTTAACGGCTCTGAAGCATTGACACTGTTGCTCATACCCTCCTTGGAACTATACTGAATTTATTTCTCCCTCTCTAGCTCCTCCTTTTCAATTTCCTCTTATAGACTCAGCCCTAATTTTCAAGGAGCCTGGAGCAAGACTACAAATGAAAGCCCATATACCATATGTATAAATATTTTAAAGTTATAAATCAAGCTAGCATTCTATCTTCCTATTTTGACACACACCTTTATAACAATCTAAAAGACTAAGTTCCGATTTGGACTTCTCAGACTCCCTCAAATTCCATGGAGGCATGGGAGAACCATACCTTCCCTTCAACCTGGCCTCCAGTCTGTCCCTTTTTCTCTTCCCAACGCTGGCTCCGCTCCATACCACAAGGAGCCTCATATACACACATATGGCATCGCAAGCTCTGGCCATATGCCTGCAAACTGCTATGCTCTGGCCATCCCTTAGGCCTAGAGAAGCCCATACATGTAGTATGGTCAAGAAAGGAGAGAATCATAAAAGAGGCCTGTGAAGGGCCACACGGGCAAGAGTTCAAATATTCAGAACTTGATCTAGAAATGGGTACCAGATGGACTGGTTCCCTTGCCCGACCCCCACCCCCAAATCTTCATTTTATCAGGAGGAAGGCCAGATGAGGAACCCTAGAGCACAAGGCCCAGAACAAGGTTCCCAGTTGGCTGAATCCAAAGACAGTGCTACTCTCTGGCCAACCCTTACGTGGTATTTCCAGGGTCCCATCCCTAGTCCTCTTCTGACGCCACACTCTCTAAGATGTCTCATGCATTGCCGTGGCTTCACACCAATCTCTCTTCCGGTCTAGACCATTTCATGGGCTCCAGTTTGTCTACTAGACACCTTCTTGCCTCTACTTCTCTATGAAATTAAATAGGGTATAATAAGTCATACCCATCTATTCCAGGATATCCCAAGCACACCATTAATTAATCCAGTAAGTCAACAAATGTTAACTGAGCACCTCTTACATGCTTGCACAGTTTTGAGTGCTAGAGGTACAACAATGAAGAAAACAAAAGTCCTTGTCCTCATGGATCTTAAATTCCAGTGGGGAGAGATAAAAATAAACAAAATATGTCTAGCATACATGTAGATGGTGATAAAGGCTACGGAGACAAATGAGCCAAAGGGAGAGAATATCTGGCAGGGAAGACGGTTGCAATTTCAAATCAAATGGTCAGAGAAAGATTCGCTGAAAAACTGACATATGACTAAAAGACTCAAAAGTAGGAGTAAGCTATGCCAATAACTGGGCAAGAGCCTTCTTCAAAGGAAAGAGATACTTCAAGAGTTGCAACAGGGAGTACACCTGACTAGTTCAGGGATCAGCAAGGAGGCCAATAAGGCTGAAGTGAAGTGAGCAAAAGGAAGAAAGAACAGAAAATGATGACAGAGAGATAAAGGCCATATTGGCCTTCTGCAAGGGCTTTTACTCCAGGAGGAGGAGGGTTTTATATGCAGAAAGATGACCTGATTAATAAGGATCATTCAGATGCTGGGTTAAGAACAGACAGGGGGCAAGGGCAGAAGCAGGGAGATCAGTTAGAAAGCTACTATAATAATTGGGTGAAAAATCATAGTGGCTAGGACAAGTGGTAGGGTCTGGAGAATAAAAAGTGGTCAACTTTTAGACATATTTTGAAGGTAAAGATTTGCTAGCAAATGGGATATGGGATATGAGAGAAAAAGAGTGAAGAATGAATCCAAAGATATGTCACCACACCATTAAATGAAATGGAGGAAAGTGTGGAAGGAGAATATGTCCAAAACTAAACTCATTTTTTTTCTTGGCTACCGTCCTGAAAGTATTACCTCTCCTATTGTGTTTAGCTCAGTAAGTTACCCCAACACCCACACAGGTTGCATAAAAAACAGAGATCCGTGACTCCTTTCTCCATCAATACCATCATTCTCCCCTTGGCTGGTACTCTTCTGTCACCACAAATGTCCTCTTCCTTTATTCAAACTCCACTTGTCCTCCAGGTCAACTTCTTCCCTACAATGACTTCACCTCTTTCCTATCTCTTACTACACCAGTTCTTCCAATAATATTTATTGAGCACTTACTATATACCAAACAGCACTGAGCGAAAAACACAAAAATGAAGTCAAGACTCAGCCTTCAAACGGCTTAGAGTCTAGTAAGGAGAAACACACAGAAGAATTACAATGTCAGTGCCATAAAGGAAACTATGAAGTATAGTAGGGACGTAAAAAAGGAACACCCAAATAGGCTTTGGGGCATTCTGGAGAAACTTCAGAAAGGAGCCACCACCATAAGATCTGGGCCTAAGAAGAAAGAAGAGGCAAAAACTGGCATAGCAATAATAAGAGAAACAACTCTGAATGACTACTAAGTGAATTCTCAGAACTGAAGAAAAACTGAAATGACAGCAAACCTAAGTAGCGCCCAGAAGTAAATTCTGCTTGTACTATAATTTAGTTGCCTAGAATACAGACTACATTCTCATCAAAAAGTTTATGTGTATGATCTTATTTACATCAAGTACGAAAACAAGGAAAACTCAATCTATATTAGAAATAAGATACTACAACAAAAAGGGCTAACATTACAAATATATAAAAAACGCTTAAAATAGAGGAAAAAAGTACCAAAAAAAACTTCAAGGAAAATATACAATTCACTAAAACAGATATAAACAGGATCCTTAAACATATGAAAAGAAGTTCAAATTCACTCATAGAAAAATGCAAATTAAAAAAATTGTTTGCCATGTATTTCATCTATGAAAATGTATGACATTATTGTGCAAGCTTACACATTGCTGCTGGAAAGACAAATTGATACACTTGGAGAGGGGAATTTGGCGATGTCTAACAACACTGCATGTGTGTTTACCATTTTCAAACAGCTTCACTGAGATATAATTAACATATAATTATTAACACTTAAAGTTTTTAGTATATTCACAAAGTTGCATATCACCATAATCTAATTTTAGAACATTTTCAGCACCCCGCCCCCCAATCCCATGTTCATCCTTCCCCAATCCCTAGTCCCTGGCAACCACTAATCTACTTTCTATGTCTAGAGATTCGCTTGTTCTGGCTATTACATATAAATAGAATAAAATGTGGACTTTTGTGACTGGCTTCTTTCACTTAATACATTTTCAATAGTCAATCTATGTGTAGCATGCATTAGTATTTTAATTTTTTTTTTTTAAATCTTTATTGTTGAATGTGTTACAGATTTTCCTCATTTTTCCCCCATGGACCCCCTTCTCCCCACTCCCGCCTCCCTCCTGCCTTTTCCCACACTGTTGTCTGTGTCCATTGGTTATGCATATATGCATATAAGTTCTTTGGTTAATTTCTTCCCATCCCCCCAACCCCTTTCCCTTTGACGTTTGTCAGTCTAGCAACCAATTTGTACTTCTTAATCCCTTCACCTTTTTCACCCATTCCCCCAACCCTCCTCCCATCTGGCAACCAAGAAAATGTTCTCTGTATCTATGAGAATATTTCTGTTTTGCCTGGTCATTTTGTTTGTAGATTCAATTGTCAATAGATATGTATTCATTGCCATTTTGTTTGGTCATATTTTTTATCTTTTTCTTTAAGAAGACCCTTCAACATTTCATATAATAATGGTTTGGTGGTGATGAAGTCCCTTAGCTTTTCCTTGTCTGGGAAACTCTATATGGCCATCAATTGTAAATGACAGCTTTGCAGGATAGAGCAATCTTGGTTGTAGGTTCTTGCTTTTCATTACTCTGAATATTTCTTGCCACTCCCTTCTGGCCTGAAAAGTTTCTTTGGAGAAATCAGCTGACAGTCCTATGGGAAGTCCCTTGTAGGTAACTAACTGCTTTTCTCTTGCTGCTTTTAAGATTCTCTCTTTGTCTTGAACCTTTTGCATTTTGATGATGATGTGGCTTGGTGTGGGCCTCTTGGGGTTCATCTTGTTTGAGACTCTCTGTGCTTCCTGGACTTGTATGTAT